ACAATATGTCCCAAAGTACTGTATCCAACACAGAATCGTCGTAGAGGTCGAATCAAGTTCTGTAAACAAGGGATTTTCCAAAGGAAAATCGTTGAACTTACTTTTGTGATTGAATCATCAATTCAAGTCAAACATTAATCAAATAGGAACAATTTCACTCAAAGTATACCTAGACACAGGAGAACTATTGTCGTGAAAGTGTTGTGCAATCGATTACGAATTTAGATTGCAGAGAGTTTGTTCTGAGCGCTAAAGGCACTCACGATAGAGCACATTTTGCTTTATTCTAACAGTCACCCTTTTCCAAGGACGCACACAAGCCGAGAGAATTGCTTACAAAATATTGTCAGACGATTTCACCACAACGATGGACAGCACCATTGACAAACTAAACAAAGAGTTCAAGACCCTCGCAGGATTGACAATTGCGCAAGGACAGATACGCTTGATGCCAGCGATCAGAAAGAACATCTGCGCATTCATCCAATGGTGCAGAGACAAGATTTGCATGGGACAAGACCCTACCACAACACCATTTCCCATTGTTGATGCAGCCAAACTGCTCAGACGCATGAAATCACACGAACAATACATGTATGGCTCCAGGTTGATGTTGCAACAAGCGCTACTGCAAGATTTCACCAACGATGTCCAATGGGATGATTGGTGCCCAACGTTCAAAAATTACCTTTGAACCATACCAGGAAGAGATGGTGTGCCACTGAGCTACATTGTGAGAATGAACGATGCAGGAATGCTCACCCTGCACAAAGATTTGTTGGAAATCTACATCAACATGGCACCACACGTTGGCAAAGCATACGTCATGGATAACGCCAAAGTACTAGTCCTTCTCAGCAAGTGTATCGTGGGGAAAACCAAAGCTGAAGCGACACTCCAAGCCATCAACATGCAGACAATGGATGTTGGTAAAATGGGATTTTAATGGGTAAAAGAACAGTCTAACATGTCGGACAGTAAGGTTGGACATTTGTGGTATCGAACACGGACTGGAGTGCGGTTTGATTATGTACAGAGATGGATATGGATAAGTATTGAAGGTATATCCGAATCTGTGACTAGTTTGTGAAGAACATGTGCGTATGTGCTTTATACGCCGCGACAGCTGGTGAGAGCTGACGCAGATGGCTTCTGGAAGAGATTTTTTGTACCTGCTTGTGGAGATCATTGTTGATCGACTTCTGGCAAGAATAGCAGTAGAATAAGATCTAATAGGAAGTGGTGAGACTGTTCATCCGCAGGTTGAAGCCCAGCATCACTGGCACCTGTTCCTATTGTAGGCAATCCATAGCCAACGTAGATTCGAGCTCAGTATACTCCAGAGGTAGCTAGAGCGTTGAGGCTCTCATTACAGCTACAGAGTTGATTATCTGACAATGAAAGAGAGAAGCATTCAATGCACTACGTACCCACTATGAAGGCGAAGGGATACTAGCCAGCGACATTGTTGAAGCTGAACACACCATCAAAGAACTGTGTTAAGTTGGTGAAAAACCAAAAATGAACTGGTCCATGTTTGAATGAATGCTAAAGAAAGCGTATGCAGCATTCGACAAACATGAGGGGAGAGAAGTCCATTCAGACGCAATGAAACTGCGTAGCCTACAAAGCAAGGTTACAGCACCATTTCTACAACTGAAGAAGACGGCAATTGATACGGAAATTAGCAAAAGACCGATGTTGATGACTTTCACAATGGCATTACGAATCTACCAAAATGCAGTGAGAGAAAAGTTTCCCCAAGGAACCAGCAATGCAGCCGATAGGGGACGATACTTGAGCAAAACTAGAGCTGACAACAATCGCGACAGAAGCAGTAGCCAAAACAATGGAGGAGGCAACAAACGTTGCGACAAAGAAGAAATTACTCTGAGTAATGGAGAGAAGATCTGGTACCATCCTAGCTTCCGTTTCTCTCCAACACACCTACAAGCGTTTACCAACAAACAACATGAATGCATGGCAAAGGAAAGAGCCGCATACAGAGAAAGTCAAGGATTACCAGCAAGAAGAACAACAAGACAGGCCGCACAAACACAACAAGTGGAAACGCAGCTGGCAGAATTGCGAGCCAAAGTAGCATTGATTAGATCGAACAACGTACCTGCTACAATTCCAGCCAAAGCAGCCATGCAGATATCACAAGTGACTATGGGAACAACTGGAACTACATCAATGGGCGGACGCATCCAACAGGCTAACAACCAACAGGCAAGCGGTAGGACCTGAAAAGCGATAAGGGAAATCAGACAAATCATAAGGGTGATCTCATCCAACACAGCTGCATCCCAGCGACCAGTGCAGCAACCAACACCAGGAACGACGACAAGCAATGAAATGGATACTAACGCCAATACTTGTTGCCTTGGCAAGAACTTTGTTATCATGAGCTACACACCAAGATCGGCGGATGTGTACGCGTACAACCCAGCTCTACCACCAACCAATGTACCAATTGTATCTGGAGCGACTGCATATGACTGCCCACAGAGCGGCACCACGTTCATATTGATATTCAACAAAGCACTTTACTATGGGAACCGGTTAGATCATTCATTGATCAACCCAAATCAAGTCCGCAAGTTTGGAATTCCCCTATGGGATAATCCGTTTGATGAGATGAGGAATATTGGTTTCTAGATCAAGCCAATATTTGTTGCACTCAAGGCAAAGGGGACAAAGTTACTATTCAATTCAAGGGCCCCAACTGATCAAGAACTCGCAAATTGCCCCCACATTGATATGACAAGCAAAGTGCCTTGGAACCCAGGTACCATACAACTTGGGAAAGTCTCAATCATCCACGAAGACCCAATAGATTGTTCAAATGGCCAAAACGAATGTCCGACCAGAACGTAAGTGCAGGTTATTCTCGCCAGTAGGTTTTGTACATAAGAAATATGTTTGCAAGACACAAAGCTGCAAATTCCTGTTATCATCATTACGTGACATACGTTAATTGGACCAGAGAGTGTCCGTCATTTGTACATTAGATAGTTTAAACTAGAGATTCGCACACATCTTGTAAAATCCCCATGTTTGTCATTGTACTCGTTTTCGTCCCGAATCTCTCGTACCTCGCTACTCAATATAACGGTTTATCAGACCCATCCAATCCACAATGGATAGAGGAGCCTGGGAAGGCTTTCGAATAATATCTGTTTGAGGAAATCGCCTCATTCAGCCATGGTTAGGATCACCATCGTCGTATCGATCTCGTGATTTTTTCATGCCACAATTTCGGCGTTCGGATGCGCACCGAAGGCTAATCACGTCGCAGCGTTAACTAAATTGTTCGCTAGCGAAGGCTAAACGGCAGACGTGCCATGCGTGCAATAATAATAATAACTGAGACATTAATCGTTAATATGCTACTCTATGGGCATTCGATTGCCGGTGAAATATTCGGCTGTAAAGGTCAAGTACTGTGAAGCGGTGAGTCAACAACAAGTTTGAACCATGTGAGGCATCTGTTGGTGAAATGGGATCTTAACAGATAAAAGAACAGTCGAACATGTCGGACAGTGAAGTCGGACATTCCAGATATCGAACACGGACGGGAGTACGGTTCAAGTACTTACAGAGATGGATAAGTATTGAAGGTAGATCCAGATCTGTGACTAGTTCGTGAAGAACATGTGCGTATGTGCTTTATACGCCGCGACGGCTGGTGAGAGCTGACGCAGGTTGCTTCCGGAAGAGATTTTTTGTACCTGCTTGTGGAGATCATTGTTGATCGACTTCTGGCAAGAATAGCAGTAGAATAAGATCTAATAGGAAGTGGTGAGACTGTTCATCCGCAGGTTGAAGCCCAGCATCACTGGCACCTGTTCCTATTGTAGGCAATCCATAGCCAACGTAGATTCGAGCTCAGTATACTCCAGAGGTAGCTAGAGCGTTGAGGCTCTCATTACAGCTACAGAGTTGATTATCTGACAATGAAAGAGAGAAGCATTCAATGCACTACGTACCCACTATGAAGGCGAAGGGATACTAGCCAGCGACATTGTTGAAGCTGAACACACCATCAAAGAACTGTGTTAAGTTGGTGAAAAACCAAAAATGAACTGGTCCATGTTTGAATGAATGCTAAAGAAAGCGTATGCAGCATTCGACAAACATGAGGGGAGAGAAGTCCATTCAGACGCAATGAAACTGCGTAGCCTACAAAGCAAGGTTACAGCACCATTTCTACAACTGAAGAAGACGGCAATTGATACGGAAATTAGCAAAAGACCGATGTTGATGACTTTCACAATGGCATTACGAATCTACCAAAATGCAGTGAGAGAAAAGTTTCCCCAAGGAACCAGCAATGCAGCCGATAGGGGACGATACTTGAGCAAAACTAGAGCTGACAACAATCGCGACAGAAGCAGTAGCCAAAACAATGGAGGAGGCAACAAACGTTGCGACAAAGAAGAAATTACTCTGAGTAATGGAGAGAAGATCTGGTACCATCCTAGCTTCCGTTTCTCTCCAACACACCTACAAGCGTTTACCAACAAACAACATGAATGCATGGCAAAGGAAAGAGCCGCATACAGAGAAAGTCAAGGATTACCAGCAAGAAGAACAACAAGACAGGCCGCACAAACACAACAAGTGGAAACGCAGCTGGCAGAATTGCGAGCCAAAGTAGCATTGATTAGATCGAACAACGTACCTGCTACAATTCCAGCCAAAGCAGCCATGCAGATATCACAAGTGACTATGGGAACAACTGGAACTACATCAATGGGCGGACGCATCCAACAGGCTAACAACCAACAGGCAAGCGGTAGGACCTGAAAAGCGATAAGGGAAATCAGACAAATCATAAGGGTGATCTCATCCAACACAGCTGCATCCCAGCGACCAGTGCAGCAACCAACACCAGGAACGACGACAAGCAATGAAATGGATACTAACGCCAATACTTGTTGCCTTGGCAAGAACTTTGTTATCATGAGCTACACACCAAGATCGGCGGATGTGTACGCGTACAACCCAGCTCTACCACCAACCAATGTACCAATTGTATCTGGAGCGACTGCATATGACTGCCCACAGAGCGGCACCACGTTCATATTGATATTCAACAAAGCACTTTACTATGGGAACCGGTTAGATCATTCATTGATCAACCCAAATCAAGTCCGCAAGTTTGGAATTCCCCTATGGGATAATCCGTTTGATGAGATGAGGAATATTGGTTTCTAGATCAAGCCAATATTTGTTGCACTCAAGGCAAAGGGGACAAAGTTACTATTCAATTCAAGGGCCCCAACTGATCAAGAACTCGCAAATTGCCCCCACATTGATATGACAAGCAAAGTGCCTTGGAACCCAGGTACCATACAACTTGGGAAAGTCTCAATCATCCACGAAGACCCAATAGATTGTTCAAATGGCCAAAACGAATGTCCGACCAGAACGTAAGTGCAGGTTATTCTCGCCAGTAGGTTTTGTACATAAGAAATATGTTTGCAAGACACAAAGCTGCAAATTCCTGTTATCATCATTACGTGACATACGTTAATTGGACCAGAGAGTGTCCGTCATTTGTACGTTAGATAGTTTAACCTAGAGATTCGCACACATCTTGTAAAATCCCCATGTTTGTCATCGTACTCGTTTTTGTCCCGAATCTCTTGTACCTCGCTACTCAATATAACGGTTTATCAGACCCAT